TGTTGCTGCACTCTATTGAACTCGAACGTTCCTTTCAGCCCCCATACCTTGTGTTGTCATGCCAACTGGATCCTGTTGTGTATCATTGATCCTGCCGATGAACCGCAATAGTCTTAATACATTGTTCAAACATGCTTTACCCATACCCTTTGAGTTGATGTAGTCTGACACCTTGTTGCTCTCCTCACTTCTTTTTCTTGAAGCTTCCAATTTTACTGCCAATTCTCGGGGAGTTCCTTCTTTGATTCACTGCAGCTGACACTGTGGAATGTCGCGTTTACCGGCCTGCCCATTATGCTCTACATGTTCGACAGGGTAAGTTTCTTCCCTTTCAAGTACATATTTGCCGGCTCAATTTTGCAGTGTATGTTAAACATCAGGGCAATTCCGGCTAATACCACGAACAGAGTCAACCTGCCATTGGTACATTACGTATTTTATGAGCAGATTCGTTGGAAGAAGTATGTCGTTGAGTCGCCTATTATGCTGCTGGTATCTATGAGCGTGAATGTTGCAGCAATTCGTTTGTATACACACATAATATAGGTACATGTATATGTACACATACATACACATATATCTTTACACATACACTTTCTGATTGTGTTTATGCATGCTGTTGTGTCAATATGGTCGTGTACATGTTTGTGGACACATTTCGGTATATTGCATTATCATTTTCGGAGGACAATCGCCCGTTGACAATCAAATTATTTGACCCTGTCCTATTTTAAGACAATTTACGTAAGACTTGTAAAAGTATACCAATCTCCTTCGGTTTCTTACAGCGGCATAAACAACGAGCGCTCATGACCCAGCCATGGTTATACAGGACGACCCAAGACGGATCACCATATACGTACAAAGTAAGTAAACGTAACATATACATAACTACGGTTTATATAGTCAGCCTGTCACGCACGCTCCTAAAATGGAAAGCGGAATTTAGCGAGTGAACAAGATATTGTAGGTATATTTATATACGGAAATAGGTAGATTCACGGCAGAGGGAATTTTTTTTTTGAATGGGCTGATAGTTATTTCTGACTGGAATGAAAGCTGAAGCTGTTCGATACCACACAAGTGAAAGGAAGGCTGTACTTGCGAGAGGATTAATTACCCCATAAACAGGCTGTACACGTTTACATGTATACACTATCCTGTATATAACATCCAATCAGGTAGATACATATCCAAGGGTGGCCTCTATATGAACTCTAACTATGATTACTTATTTGTACAATTGCTCCTGCCAGCCGAAAGTTCTTTTCGCACTGGTCGGTGCGTGTAGTAGTGAAGGGGGTCGGTTGATTTTTTCTGCCGTGTTTGCTCTCAGTTATTCCCCCGAGTTATATTCTATTGATAACCACCAATCAAATTCGACTGTGCAACTCTACAGTTGTTCGTGTACTGGATGGTGCGGGCTGTAGCGCAAGGGCTGTTCTGCTTTTACTGCTGCACTCTTGCGCTCGGTTACACAGCCATCGACACACAACAAGGTGGCCTTATTCTGGGCCAAGACGGCTTGGCTATGGTGTGCTACGCTAACGCCATTATGATACAGGTAAGAACGGCGCAAAACGCAAGGCAAAAGTGTGTGTGTAAATGATATATATATATATATATATATACTCTACAAAAGTGTGTGTATAAATGATATATATACAATTGAAAGTGTGCGTGTAAATGATATATATACTCTCATTCTGTACCAGAGTACATCGTGCAACAGATGTGTAAAGTGCATAAGGCTTGTTCGTCTTACTGCGGCGGTGCTGCCCCCAGGGTAGACCTATAGACATGTATGCCTATGTATTTCGGGCCACTATGGGGTCCACAATTATTGACTAAGCCATCGTGGTTGTGACACAGCTCAAGTGTTTCTAGAATACAAGGTACATCTGAAGCATTATAATACAATGTTCGTCTGAAGTATCAACATCCAAAATACGCCTTAGGTTTTCTACTCCAATGCACATCTTAAACGTTATAATGCGATGCATGTGTATTTGCATAGCTACTGCAAATCTTTTGCAACGACTCTGCTCTAACGCACATAGCGATAAACACACATGACGGTCACCTTCAGGGTGGTGAAAGTTTCGCTATCACATGCAAGCCACTCATGCGTGATCACGTGCATATGCTCACATGTGCATATGATAATGTGATCTATTAGGCGATGAACTTGGGATTGCAGACCCATTCGTTCACCTGGATGAACCATGTGGTGATTTGGGGCCTAACGCCTATGGTATGGGTGGTGTTTGGTGCGGCTACGTTATTCCCGATGTTTGGGGACTATCCGCTCTTCTTCGAAGTCCAAGGTATGTATTGTATTATATCTTTTATTCAAGCTATGTATTGTATTGTATATTGTCGTTTTCTTTTATTTCTGTTATAATCCCCATGGCATTGGTGGTATCTCGGGATGGCGCTTGTTCGTTCGTTTATTCTCAATCGGTGAGTATCCTCAAAGATTTCTGAATTGGGCGTATGACCATATGCGCGTAATTCCAATCTGAAGACTCGTGCCATGTGTATTTAAATACGTATCAATTTCAGCCGAATTAATCATAGTTGTGCGTGTGTACAAGAGTTATGGGTTAATCTGTGGACGTGTTAGTCTGTGGCCCGCTTTCAATGTTCCTAACGCGTCTAAGTAAAAAAATTACACCCCACATCGTGTTTGTATTCCATTAGAATAGAATTGCTTTCAAGCTCCAAGCTCGCATCCAGGAACATCCATCGATTGTACGACTATGTGTGGGTCGCAATCAACTAAGCTGGTAGCCACTACGCTTAATACTTTGACAATCGTCCCATCCACACTGTCCTATCACAGATACATGGATCTTTTGGATTCTAATGCCTTTAGTACTCGTCGGAAGTCTGGTCCCGTTCGTTGGGTTCGAGCAATTGTTTATGCCTCAGGCTGTCGCACTTTCGAAGAAGATGAATTCTGTGCTACACGTCTCGTGAGACAGAGGTACTACTTAGTTGGCGGTGAGGTACAGCGTTCGTTGTTGGTTTAAAGAGGCTTTGGTACGAAGGTAGTTCTAAGCCAGACGAAGACATCCGAAGTCATCGGGGGTTATTGGTATTATGTGGTATGTCGCTGGAGACAACAGCCGAAACACTTGGTACTAAATTGTAAAAACCGTGGAACACGTTCGTACAGTACGGAAAGCAAATAGCCGAGATAGTCCGTACTAGATTTTCATTATCTTGGGACTTTGTTAGCACTTTTAGAAGCCACGAGCCGAGTGTTCATAGTATTAACTATAAGGTAGGTGCGATAATCTAATATAGGCTTTCGCAGATTCTGAAAATGACAACAATATGTTCTTACAGCTCTGGATTTGCACCTTCCAATCGGTGTATGTCTCTGCCTGTAATAAATATCCCCTCTATCACTGTAAGCGGAAGTACCACCTTGTGCTGATCTGTCTGATTGACTCAGCAGAGATCGTAGCATGTACATCAATACGCTCTTCATTTCCCAACATTATATTCGTGGTCACCCTAGTTGCTTGAGTTTAGCCAAAGAAAGCACTTGTTTAGCCGACTCCCGAGACACGGAAACCGTATGTTTTTCGATCAACGGTTTGTACCGATATACGTTTGTACATGCAAACGAACCCGATTAAACAAACACAAATACGTTTCTTTTGTCGACACCTAAGCTGGTCCATCCACCATCTACTCCATTGAGATATAACTTTTCATCCCAGTGGACGATCTTCATGACACTTATTACCATGCTTGTTGTAGTAGCATGTCGCGTTTACACCAAACTTATTATCGGCCACGTTCATTGGTCGGTCATAGAGAGAATGTATTGACAAGTACTGCACACATCCATGCAGCTAATTGGAACACTACAGGGTTCTGAACATACGCGTACATGCCAAACTGTACACGAAGTCTTCTCTATTTTGGTTGTGTATTCGTCCGACCAATATGATCTAACTTAAGAAACGGGAGTCGGGGCGTTTGTCACATCTGCAGGGAGAGGGTCTTCGGCTTTTGCATAATCTTCGAATGTCATCTGAATGGATATACTGTGATCTCCGGCATTGAAGTTTATACTCGGTTCGTCCTTTAGTGCATTGTCACATGCCTGTGCGGCAAAATAAATATATGTTTGATTAGTCGCAAGCAAGTAGGTTTTAGACGTTGATATATATATATATATATGTGTGTGTGTGTGTTTGTGTCCGTACATACATAACATTAATACATACATGCAGCTACGGTATGTGATGCTATCGATTTGTGTACGTACACCACTCTTTGTCCGACATATGGTGCAATCCACTCCACTACTAATCAAAACGAGTATCAATGATATCATTGCTGGTAGAGATTTAACTCACTGACGCACCGTTCTGATCCCGAATAAGCTGCCAAACGGCGGTATAGACCCAGGCTTGAGACCAGTCATCTTGAACACTTCATCGACAGTGGCGAATCTGACCGAGCCCTTCATCCCCATGTTTTTCCTTATGAGTTTGCTGTCGATTCTAATGAACAAAAATATCATCAAGAATTAGACACTGATCTCTTTATTTCCCAGACGGAGTTTATAGTTGAGTCTGATGAACGACCAAAACTTCAAAAAATGAATTTACCTGAGACCTCAACACATCATATGTGTGGATAGTACACATGTTCATATCACTAAGATGGATGATATTCAGTATTTATCACAGGAAACACCAGGATCAAAGTTCTCTTCGTAGTTTTATTGTGCTTTCATTGAACTATAATTTA